ATATCTCTACTATATAATTCTCAGTGTGACTACTGAGTAATAATTTAAATTCAATTAATATCTCTTAATAAGTTCAGTTCTTATCAATGTGATAATATATAACTCTTATAAATATAAGATTGTTTGTACTAGTTCATGTATTCACTGTGAGAGACACTCTTTGATGATTCTTCAACTCTGATTCTAGATATTGTATATTGACTTTGTAGTATATCTCAAGGTTGAACTGAAGACAGAATCAATGTAGAGTATAAAGATTTGAATTAAGTATTTAAAAAAGTGTTCAGAATTCAGAGTTTTCAATTGATTAAAGAGAAAGATTCAGAGATATATATATACAAAGTAATTATTCACAGAAGTTATCAGATGAGAGTTATGAAATCAGAGTACTGATATATGATTATTTTTATAATTTTCTTCAAATTAGAAAGTTAGTATTATTAAAAATTGTTATCTGATAGAGTAACTTATCAGCTCAGTCATAATTTTATGATTATTTTTCTTTTATTATCTATATTCTGATGACTTCAGATGTCAGAAAATTTCTTCAGAGTTATGAGTAGTCTATGATAAATGTTTCTGAATAAAGTTATAGTGATTATAGCAGAGAGATGACTCTTCAGTAATCTACAATACAATCTGTTAATAATTATTTCATAGTTTATCTTGATATTTATGTTAAGTTTTTCATAAATTTCATGACCTGGAATCAGATATCAAGAATAAAGTGATTATTTATTATAATTGAAAGAGAGTATTCTGTGTTGAATTGTAAATAATATAAACTTTGTAATTTATAGTGATTTCTTGAAGTGTTTATAAATCTTCAATAGAAGTAAAAGAAGTGAAAGAAGTGAATTCAGAAGATATAATAATAATTTAAGAAAGATAATAATTTATTTTCAATAACTGATCACTGATATGTATAAGAAGAATTAATATAAGAGAAAATAATCTTATTTCTTAACTTAGTTATAATTTTAGTACTAACTCAGATTGAATATTATCAATATATAAAAGTAAATAAATAATCTTAATTAATCTCTGTCATATTTCTTAAAATATATTAATATAGTGAAAGAGAGTGTTATCAAATTGTATTACTAGATAATATTATTAAAAATATATTAATATTATGAATATCAATATTGAGACAATGTTGATACTTATATATTATAGTGATTTATAAATTATAATAGTTAAATATATATATATATATATATTATTTCTGACTTGATTACAACTTGTACAATAATTTTTGAAAACTCAAAATTAATTTTAATTATTAATAATTATGAACTTACAACTAACTAATATAAAAAGAATAAAACTTTTTCTACTTCTTCTCTTTCTTATTCTTTCTATTATTCTTTATAATTTATTTCTCATTCTTCTTCTTCTTCTTCTTCTTCTTATCTGAGATAATAATTATCTCAAAATCTCTCTTCACTATCTTCTCAGAGAAGGATTCTCACTGCTTTCTCTCAGTCAGATTAATCTGTATCTTAAAATCCTGCATTTTCTGATCTGCTGCCTCAGGTTTCATCTCAGTAGTAAGCAGATTGACATGCTTAGAGAGTAGAGCTGTCTTCTCAATATTCTGAATTATGAAGTGCATTTAAGATCTGAACAAGCTCTTAATTCTCTTCTTCTCTGTCAGCTTCTGCTAATCAATTAGAGAATAAAAGTATTATTAAAAATTATTATCTCTTAATAAATAAAAAATATATCAGTTTTAACTTCTTTATCTCTCACTTCAACATCTTCTCAATCTTCTTCTGCTATTACTTATTTATAGTAATACTCTTCTTCTCTCTCTCTCTCTTCATTTTAGACTCAAATCATTCTCAGAACTTCTTCTGATCTTATCACTACTGTATAAGACTTTTAACTATTATCTTCATCAATCTCTCACAGGCAGTGCTATCTGTATTATTTCTATACTTAGTTCAGTCTAAATCTATCAGGAGTATTACTTATAATCATTATTATTCTACTCTCTTACAGAGTCTCTTCAACATATTATAATATGTCTTAGAATCTGTCTTCTCTTACTTGAACATCTTCTTCTTCTCTGTCTTCAATCTGTGATACTACTTACATGTCTTGATGATCTGCAGAACTGCAGAATATTTGAAGAGAAATAACATGATTAATTTCAGTGAGTGTTGAAGAGAGGTGAAGATAGAAGAGACAGTCAGAAATGATATGATAATGATAATAATAATAATGATAGTAATGATAATAATAATGATGATGATGATGATGATAATAATGATGATGAAAGAAAGAGTGCATTGAAATATATTACTAACTTATCAAATATAAAGAGATGAAGAAAATATTAACAGCTTTCAGAGATATACAGAAACAGCTACAGTGTTACAGAGTAACATTATCTTCATTCAATACATACAGTGTTGATATTCTTTGTATTCAGTTATCATATAATCTATATCAGAAATACATGCAGAAAACAGATCTTTATTACTAGAAAGAATGATTGCAGCAATTCTCTGTTTTCATATTATAAAGATAAGTTATTCTTATTTCTTTCTTCTCTCTTTTCTCTTCTTCTAAAACTCATTACTGAGTTCAAGCTAATATGAAAACTATTAAAACACTCTTAGAAAGTCGCAAATTGAAGAGTATAGACTAATCAAATTTTAAATACAGAAGAATTAAATTATATTCAATATTACTAATTATTCATTCTCTCTTAATAAAATCACAGTCATGTCTTTCTCTCTCTCTTTTAAATGAAACATAGCCTGTGAAAAGCAAGTATCACATCAGATTATAATAATCAACACAGCTTCAGCACACAGAGCTGTATACACACAGTGTGTGCTGAACTGAGAGACTGTGTGAATTGTAAACTGGTATCAGCATCTTAGAGAGAGCTGTGCAGCATTTGAAAGCTGCAACTCTCAGTTACATACACAGAGAATGAATCATCACAGTAAGTGTATATATATTGTATGAAAGTAACACTTTTTGATAACACTTAGTCTCTGATATTATGAAAATAAAGTCTCTTCATGAGATTTATTTTTATCAGAAGTCAGAAATCTTATATTTCTTAAGATCATCTTCACACATCTTATCTATAAAATTGATGAGAAGAATCATCAATTTAAGTATTCTACTCTTAATATTATTCAAGTGATAGCAGAGTTCACTTTAATCATACTTTTTAAATGTATATTTTCTAAATATTGATATTTATACAGATATATACTGATTATTTATTAGATAATATTAAGATAATAACTCATTACAGCTATGTTACTCTTACTGTGAGAAATACACAGTTAGTAATAAACATTGTAAAGACTCTGAGAAGTAAGTATTTTAAAACTACTGTGACTCTGTAATCTTGATTTTTTTTATTTTTTTTTTCTTTCTCTTTTTTTTTCATTCTGAGTTTTTCTTGTTTTTGTTTTATTTTTTGTTTTTTGTTTTTTTTTGTATTTTATATTTTTTTTATAATTAAAATTATATGAATTATGATCTATGTTCAGAAAAGTAATGATATTTAATAACACTCTCTATTGAATTTTCAACAAATGAGTACTATATTATGATATTATGTAAGTGAGAAGTGATTTCATAATCTTCTTTAATATCATTCTCAATAATGAGATCAGAATGAAAATGTGACTAAGAATTCAAATATATTCTTTATTCAGAACTACATTTTTATTTGAAAAGTGAATCTAAAATCTTTAATATTTGAAATAACATGATTCCAAATCAATGTAATGAATACAAATCATGATCAGAAGTAATGCTTTTAGATAATATGATAACTGTAAAGTTTGATTCTGATCTCAGACACGGTTATACAGTCAGTTTACTCAGTTCTGATAAAACTCATATCAAGAAATGTATAAGATCAGAGTAAATAAAATTACATATGAAATTCATAATCTTACTAATCAGTCTAATAGCATCTCTACTAGATCTCTCTTATTAAATTAATAATTACACTTCTCAAGATTAAACAGAGAAGAAATAAGACTTATATATTAAATTAGCCTGAGACTACTATAATGTCAACTATCAGAGATTTAAATAAGCAAATATTAGAGCTATAAAGACAGTGAAATACAATTTTCTAGTAAGTAATAATTTTTAATAATACTTCATATTATATAGAACTATAATACTAACTTTAAAACAGAACTTACATACATTAATTATAACTGAAAATCAGGCAAAATTATATGCTTATAAAACTGAATTTAACTGCTATCTTTAAGATACTCTGATGAATTTACACACTAAATTAATTCTAGAGCTATGAAAAATTATTAAGAGTATATATTTAATTATTACACTGATAATATATGATATTCTAACAATTTCATTAACAGAGATGAGAATGAAGTAAAAGTTCAACTCAAGCTAAGATATTTATTACTATTACTGACAACAATTATAAGAAGAAATAATCAAGAAACTCATGATTATAAAACATGAAATTATCAGACAGTTTAATATCTCTGATCACAGTGTATTAGAAAAGTATAGTTTTTATAACAAAGTGAAAAATACACTTATATAAGAATATATTTAATTGTTTTATAAGTGTTATCAATAATTATTATTAAATTCTGATTATATAAGCAATTACTGAATATGTTGATGATTACTATATCTACTCTAGTTATATACTATCTCAATCTATTTAGTGTAACTCGCGTAGTTAGATTATAACACAATAACATTATTCTTCAAGAGATTATGAAGCTCTTCACAAGCAATGAATAACCGTAATAATATGTTAACTACATCTTCATGTATCATTACACGTGCCTAGATGTTTTTTTTTATAATTGATTGAACTCATAATTAATCTAAGATCCGGGAGGACGCCTGACTTAACAAAAGAATACATGTCTTCAAGACAGAGAAATAAGAAAACATCAGAGCAGTAAATGCAAGATCACAGATTACTATTAATATTAATAATAAATCAGAACGCAGCTTCTGAGATGTTTAAGCTGAATGAAATCATTACAGAGAAACAATCTGACAAGTTCAACAAATACAAAGACACAATTGAAGACATCAGTGAGATGTCACACAATGCAGAGTGCTCAAGTGATCAGAATAATAATAGCTTATCAAGCAAGAAGACTCACATGAGACTAGAAATTGCAAGACTTCAGCATGATATTGAGCAGATGAAGATCAGTAGAAGTGACTCTGCAGATGATGAGATAAGAGCAGATCTGACAGAATATCTTCAACAGAAAGAGAAGATATCTGTTATAATAAAAGTTCTTGAAGAATTCAGAAGCTAAGTAAGACTTATCAAAAGATCAATAGTTCTCACTGAATTCATTAACTACTCAATGTGAAGAGAGGAAATTGTTTTAGCTGCAGAGCAGTCTGAAACTGATGATATTCTTGAAGATAATAGTCTTAATAAGAATGTTATCATGAATATGCAATATTTCTGAAAAGAATGCAATCTTTGATTATATAATTACATGTGATCTGCAATTGTTCTGCAGGCCAAGACTTATTTCCCTATACTTAAGAAATTAAAGTTGTCTGCTTATACTCTATGAACTATTATAGAGAATAACTTTTCTGAGAGATCTGCTATCTGTAGAACCTGTCTGTTTGAGAAGCTGATTAGTATAACTGCTAAGTTAAAAGACTCAGATTATACTTTCATTGAATGTCTGATTGTCATAAGAACTGATTATATTCATCTAGAATATGAGATTTCAGATGTCATGTTTTTTGACAGACTGCTTACAGAAGTCAACAGAGGTTAAGCCTTATTCATAAGGAATTGAATAAATCAAATTGCCAAAGATAATATTTAACTCTTAGAGGATAATTTTATAAGTCTGTATGATCATATTCTTTTACAGCTCTCTGCTATGAATGAAGTAAATATTGATATGTCTAGAAATTCTATCAATAACACACAAGATAAGAATAAGAAAGACAAGAACAAGGAGAGAGATAATGACAAGAACAAGAACACTGAATTCAAATCTGAATGTAGAAGTAATTACGCGAGAACCTGCTATCATTGTCAAAAGATTGATCATATTCAGACTCACTGTTGAAAGAAATACCCTGAGAAACATTCTTCAAATTTGAATTTCAACATCAATAGAAACAAGAATAAAGATAAGAATGCAGAGAATACAGATGCTGCTTCTGTTCACAGTGTCATAGAGTAAGTATTTTGTATCAAAGAAAAGGCCTATGTGAGTGACTAGACAGGAAAAGATATCTGAATTCTAGACTCTGAATCAGACACCCATGCCACACCTCACAGAGATCTTGTCGTGGCAAAACCTCAGAAGGTGAAAGTGATGTTGAAAATAATAGATAGAACAGTAGTTCTCACTGCAGCTATAGAAGATACAAAGATTTCAGTCAAAGAAATGAATATACTGTTAAATAATGTCTGCTATGTCCCGAAGTTAGAAGTAAACCTCATGAGTATGAATAAGCTTATACATCAGAGTTATACCTATAAGCAGTTGATATATGAGAATAATTATACTATGTTGATTATGTCTCTCAATCACATGTTCTCATTTACAGTAAGATTAAATGAGAATAATATCTATAAGATGAAAAGACTAGTTATATACAGAGACTTGATCTGATTTGCTATACTCAATGATGATTTTGAACCTGTGAATACATTACAGATGAAAGATGACATAATATTAATACTATCTGACAGAAGCAACAGAAAGATTATAGAACTTACAATGATGCAATGGCATTAAAAGCTAGAACATCTCAACTTCACAGATATTGCTCAATTAGCAGCAGATTCATGACTAGAAATGAGAATCAAGAATGACAGAGCTTTGTCATACTGTAAAACCTGTATACAGGTAAAAATGACATATTTAACATTTATATCAATAACAAGAACTGTCAAATCTGCAATGATATTCTTTGTAAACCTTGCAGATGACAGCTGTACACTATATAATAAACTCAATCTCTCTACTCAGAGAGAAGCTAATTATTGAATGAGTATTATAAGTGATGCTACACACTACAGATGAATTATTCTTATGATGTTAAAGAATGAGATCACTGTGTGTTTGATAATCTTTATTAATGAAATTGAGATCACTACTTAATGTTGAATTGAGACTTTACACTGAGATGGCAGAGATTCACTTCTTTTACTTCTTTCACTTCTATTGAAGATTCATAAACTCTTTAAGAAATCACTGTGAATTACAAAGTCTATGTTATTTATAATTCAATACAGAATACTCTCTTTTAATTATAATACATAATCACTTCATTCTTCACATCTGATTTCAGGTCATGAAATTTATGAAAATCTCAACATAAATATTGAGATGAACTATAAAATAATTATCAATAGATTGTATTGCAGATTACTGAAGAGTCATCTCTCTGCTATAATTACTATAACTTCATTCAGAAATATTCATCATAAACTGATTATAACTCTGATGAAATTTTCTGATATCTGAAGTCATCAGAATGCAGATAATAAAAGAAAAATAATCAGAAAATTACTACTAAGCTAGTATATTATCTATCAGACAATGATTTTTAATAATACTAACTTTTTAATTTGAAGAAAATTATATGAAAATAATCATGTATCAGTACTCTGATTTCATAACTCTTATCTATTAACTTCTGTGAATAATTACTTTGCATGTATATATCTCTGAATCTTTCTTTTTAATCAATTGAAAACCCTGAATTCTGAACACTTCTTCAAATACTTAATTCAAATCTGTATATTTCATATTGATTATGTCTTCAGTGCAATCTTGAGATACACTATAAAGTTAATATATAATATATAGAATCAGAGTTGAAGAATCATTAAAGAGTATCTCTCACAGTGAATATATAAACTAGTATAAATAATCTTATATTTATAAGAGTTACATGTTATTACATTGATGAGAACTGAACTTATCTAGAGATATTAATTGAATTTAAATTATTGATCAGTAGTCATACTGAGAATTATATAACAGAGATATTAATGACAGTGATTAAAAATAACTATTGAGATATTAGTCTCAGTTATGAAATGATAAATAATGTCATATTCTCTGCATTGCTCATGTGATTTAACTTGTGATATAAACACTGATAAAGAATTTTAATATTGAGATGATGAATAATGAGATGACTGATTCTTGAGATGAGAATGAGATAAGAGTAATTACTTAAGTAACTTGTACATTCATTTTATAAAAGATAATGTTATTTAATAACACTTTTTAAAATTATTTTTTAATAATGCTTTTTAATAATGCTACTGTTAATTTTGAATAGATTGACTAATAATTTAAATATCACAGATTTGAAATATTGTTAATGTGATTTATATCATCTCTAAACAATAATCATGATTTCATGATATTCAATAACTAGATAAATCAGTCATATCACTGAATATGATATAGAATATTAGAATATAATGAAGTTCAATAAATAAGATAACTGTTTAAGCTCTTCAATTATATTAAATAATTTATCATTAAGTACAACACTCTGATTAGAAAAAGATTCAGATATTGAAACTTTCTGATATAAAGTTAACTCTGTTGAAATATGTGATTGATTTACTGTTTCAGTTTTATAAGATAATGAAGATAGGCTCAATCACTTGTATACTAATACTGCAGTCAGTCTGATGAGTGTATAACAGTTTATTTACTCATCTTGAGAAGTAGTTGAATCACTTAAAAAGAAATTCAGTCTGAGATAATGCTATAGCACAGGCTATTATTGCTGTAAGAAATAAACTGACATATTATTACAGCAAAACTGAACAATCTTTTATGAAGTACTATACTGTAGCAGCTGTACTAGATCTCTTTCATCAAGTTAATATCTACACTTCTCAAGATTGAATAGAGAAGAAATGAGACTTATATATTAAATTAGTCTGAGACTACTATAATATTAACTATCAGAGATTTGAATGAGTAGATGTTAGATATGTGAAGACAGTGAAATATAATTCTCTAGTAAGTAATGATCTTTGATAATACTTCATATTATATAGAACTATAATACTAACTTTGAAACAGAACTTGTATACATTGATTACAACTGAAAATCAGATAAAACTATATACTTATAAAACTGAATTTAACTGCTATCTTCAAGATAATCTGATGAATTTACATGTTAAATCAATTCTAGAAGTATGAAAAATTGATGAGAGTATATATTCAACTGTTGCACTGATGATATGCGATATTCTGATAATTTCATTCATAGAGATGAGAATGAAGTGAAAGTTCAACTCAAGCTGAGATATTTATCACTATTATCAGAGACAATTACAAGAAGAAACAATCAAGAAACTCATGATTATAAAACATGAAATTATCAGACAGTTTAATATCTCTGATCACAGTATATCAGAGAAGTGTAGTTTTTATAAGAAAGTGAAGATTAAACTTCTATAAGAATGTATTTAGTTGTTTCATAAGTATTATCAATAATTGTTATCATATTCTAATTATATAAGTAATCACTGAATGAACTGAATGAGACTGAATTTAATCTTCAGTCTCAGTCTCATTCTGATTTTGAAAGAATGATCATCTTTCACAGTTTATTCTGAGAAATTACTCTTATTTCACTGTTCTTGCATTAAATCTAGTTATTTTTCATGTCTTTTCTCTCAGAAATGATCTATTTTTAGATTTTTTTAATACTTGATTCTGATGGGACTCACATCAAGAAATGTATGAAATCAGATTAAATGAGATTAAATGTGAAATTCATGGTCCCGCCGGCCAGTCTACTTCTTACACTTGAAAAACATTCATTGTCTTCTCATTAGAAACAATTACTTATTAAGAAGATATCTGAACATGTAACAATATGTAAGCAATAGAGAAATGATTAATCAGTAAAGTGAATACTGAGTCTTAATTAGTTAAGTAGACACTGAGTTCTCAGATAGAAGCTTACTCATCAGTTACTCTGACACTGTCATAAAATCTTACAAAGAGTATAAGATCTTATAAAGAGAATATCAGTGAAAGATCTGAGAGTTCTGATATCTTAGACATATAAGATATTTATCTGATTATACTTCTTCAGATTTCACAGATATTACTCATTTAATAAATAATATAATCATGTCTAACAATAATATGAGAGAACTCTCAAACATGAGTATAGATGTAGTTAGACTGGCCGTCAGATTCATGAATTTCACGTTGAATCTCATTTGATCTGGTTTCATACATTTCTTGGCGTGAATCCCGCTGGGACTGGCTATCAAAAAAACATG